TTCTTTTTATAAATCATATATTTTACAATTTAACATAATGAAACCACGTTTCCTGTCGAAAAATTTATTATTGAGAAAATTTACTATTTTACAGTTTATTTTATCGTCCCATCCGGCTTTGTTTACTTTTACTTGAGAAATTTCATCGCCGCCGGGAATGCGGAATCTTGTATTATATCATTCTTGTTACCATATAGCAGACATGGGCACTTTTGCCCGTATGGGCTTTTTTTGCCCGTACGGGCAAGCGAGCCCATTTCGCGGGCTAGATCAGGGGAGAATCATAGGCAAACATGAAGGGGTCAACGAATCTTACTAATACACGTATACCAATGAGAGCCACTGCACACGCATTCTGGAGTAAAAAGACTCTCCCAAACGTACGCCACATACACTCCTCGTCATTTGAATAGCTCAACCTTTTAATCCTTAAAATTTATATTTTTAATTTTGTTTATTTAATATTCATTACATCCGATTTTCAAACTTTATACAGTGTTAAAAAAATGTCAACAAAGGGGTACAATAAAGTGCAAGTTTCAAGTGTCTGTAAAATAGCGGTGATTTTGACAATTTTTGAAAACTGTAAATACTAAGGATTGAAAGGGTGTGCAATTCAAAAGACGAGGAGTGTATATGAGCAGATGTCACGATTGAGAGAAATAGAGGTTGCGCCCATCACGGTACCGCTATTCCTATCTCAGTGAATTTGACAGAATCGTTGTTTGTATGACGTCACACTTGTGCAACTTGTTTACGTTTTCCTTGCAACATTTTTTCTTCTTCTTCCATTCTTGTCACGTTTTGGCATTTCTCTCTCGCAATTGCACCAGTGTGACGTCACCAGTGTTGCCACTGGCTTAGCCTTTGAAGTATCCATAAAAAAATTGAAAACTGTATCCAAATGTATCCACCGAAAATAGCGGACATTGTTACACAGTGCATCTATGGAAAACAAACTCGGCCCCTTAACAAACTTATTAACATGTAGTCAGTATTTTCCCATCCTTAGACACGGATTTGGGAAACAAAGGCCCGTAGTTATAGTCATAATTAAGTCGACTCTAAAGTTAATTGCAGTTTTTTGACATAATTTTCAATGGAATATCTGTCAAAAAAGCTGCTACTAACTTTAGTGTCGACATAATTTTGACTATACCTACGGGCCTTTGTTTCCCAGATCTGTTTCTAAGGATCGGAAAATACTGACTACAATTACGAGCCAAAGTTTCCGCATGTTCGATGTTTATTACTTCGAATAGATTCTCGACATAACAGTTAACTACTACAGGTCGGAAAACTTTTTGAAGCGAATCATTTTATTTTTCAAAGTGACAAGAATAAGTATAAATTTTTTGCTTAGAGGACGAGCAGCAAACTGTTCAAAATATTATAATAGCTCGTACATAAATAAAAAAAAAATCCTCCAACTTACGAATACTTATGGGAAAAGGTATCCAAATTTACACTGCGGAAAGAAACGAAGTATCCCTCAAAATTTAAGCGAAAATGTATACAATTTGATACATATGTATCAAAACGGCAACACTGGACGTGACACAAAAGTTATTCTCAAAAATCCTCTCTGATGGGCGCAATCTTGTACTCTATCATTTTTGAGCAGATGTGATCACTACCCCAAGTAAACTTGTGCTGAAAGTGAGAGCTGCCGCCGTGTTGAAAAAATCGTTCAATGTTACAATGAATTAAACAGTGTAAAATTATATAGCAAACATCTTAAAAACATATATTTAGAAACGTAGTATTATTACTGTTTACTGCGGAGACACGTCACACGGAATGGAGTGCTCGCACTTAAATTATTATGTAAAGGAAAGAAGGATTTAAAGTATTAATAATTAATAAGTGGTCCTTGATCTTTATTTTGTATTTGAAATGATTGTGTACAACGTTATAAAGCGTACTTGATGCTCTTACCTCAGTGTGGCGTGGTAGCTGGTGAAGCGATTGATAGTTCTCGGAGAAGTGAATTTAGATATATTTTCAAACTCCGTTGTACCCGCCGAGCTATGTACTTAGGTTTAATTTCCCCTCAACACAGTTATTAGTGGCGGGGTACATATCACGATTGAGAGAAATAGAGATTGCGCCAATCGCGGTACCGCTAATCCGCTCTTTGTGATTTTGACAGAATGAGCTGTGTGCGTGACGTCATCTTGGTGCAATTGTTGAATGTGAGCATACGAAAAGACCAAATAACAATTTTAATATTTGTGCGTTAATATTTCTGCGTGCTTTTAAACAATTATTTAGACATTAAAAAGCAAAATTAAGTGTGCAGTGGCAAAGTGTAATAGCGAAAACAAAAGGAAAGCGTGCTATATAAGTTTTTTTTTCGTTTCCTACGGACGCAAACCTGGCGAAAAAGTGTGTGAGCTATGAGCTTCTACATGGAACTATGTTGGCCTTTCCTTGGTGAATTGTAGTAGGTATATTTCCATGGTGAATGTAGACAGTTGCTGGTTTAGTTTGCTGGCAATGGCATACATACAAAAGCAGTTTCTACGGTAAATAGATACATGAACTTCACTACCTGCTTATTTTTGTTAGTACCTGATTCTTTTAGTGCTGGTATGAGGTAATGCACCAGTGGATAAGGTCGCCAGGCAAGGAGCATCCATACAAGGTGATGGTGATTGCATATAAGTAAAAGTCCCGTGTATTTTGTTATTGCTTTTTGGTACAGGAGGATGTCAAAACGAAAGGGAATATGAGATAATTTTCGTCATTTCGTTTCGTTTCGTTTACATCCTAAAGTTGCGCCTCTTCGTCTTGGATGACATTCTCCTGTACTAGTGTAGAGACAAAAATATCCAATCAGCTGATCAATCAACACCACCTTGTATTGATGCGCCTTGGTCGCCAGGCGCTAATTCAAGCGGCATCTTACCGCGCTGTTACGTGCCCAAATTATTATACATTTAAAAGTTCAGCTTAAATTATGTTTTACTGACATAGCATATTTGCTTCCAAAAAAGCCACACTCATGCATCCTCTCGGAAATGGTACAAAAGTCATCAAATAAAAGCTGTGCAGTCAACAGCTGTGGAGTTTATGGTGGTTGGCTACCGTCCGCAAATATAAATATGCACTCTGCATGGCTTTTTAAAATGGCAAGTCCAAAAATTCACTTTGCTGCACACCTTCCTTTTGGTCTACATGAAATTGCAAACACTGTTAATACATCCATTTTTTCATGTGCTAAAAATCGTACTTATCTAAAGGGCTACATGTCCAAAATTATTGCTACGTGTTCCTAATTAATCAATCTTTGTATATTTATTGATTCCTGCAAAATTGGGCCATGTAGTATTCAAATTAACACATTTTTCTGCATTGTTTACATATTTTTATATGCGTTTTGGCATTTCTCTCTCGCAATTGCACCAAGATGACGTCACGCAAAAATTACGCTCAAAAATCCTCTCTCATTGGCGCAATCTTGTATTCTATCATTCTTGGGTACATATGTATGTAATTGCGTGAGTTTGTGTGTGTACGTATATACAGTATATTATGCTTAGCTGCACATCCTTCTTTGCACGAAAAACTTGTGCACGTAACCGAAAAAGGCACTTAACCGAATTTTCTTTACTACTTCAATGAGGAAGGTATCCGAATCCCTATGAAACCAAATATTGGCGGAGCACTTACCATGTAGAAATTACTGCAAGCGAAATTTTTACCGAATGTTATCTAATTATCTTATAAGTACATAAATTGATAGCCATTTTCGTTGTTCTGCGAGATGAGCAAAATAAATAAAAGGTTGTAAAATTAGGTAATTGTAGGGTCAGTGCAGGTAAACGTAATACTTTCATTGATAATTGATACTAGTCGCACAATTTTTAAAGCAGGTATCGCCAATGTGCAGGTATGTTGAATGCTTCTATCGTAGCAGTTTCCTTATAAATGTTAAAAATAATGCTTTTGATGCGCATTTTGGGGTAGGTATCTTAAATGTGCTTTTAAGCATAGAGGCAGCAAAGCAAAATATACTGTACATGTACGGTGCATTTTACTGCACATTAGGGTGGTGCAATATATATAGGGTGGAGGCCTAAACAATTACAAAATATTCTAGTTATTTTATCACATCAGTAATATAAAATATAATACATTTCTTTGCAACTGCCACCTAACGAAGCGGCGTTAAATTTAATATAAGCGGCATAAGTCTTTTCGATCAGCTGTTTAGGCTAAGCCCAACACGTTGAGTTCAGGTAGCGTAAACATTTTCCGCTGGAAAAAATGGCGGAGAGTTGCTGTTGAGCTGAGCGGACAGTTGTGCGTTTCTAAGACAAATAGCCAACGGTTGGGCAACAACTACGTCTTATAAACGCGCCCATTGTGTTATTGTGCCAAATACGTTTGAATGATTTTGCGTTCAAGTTCTGAACACATTGAAAACGACGAGCTACGGGCCACAGCTTCCACTTTGTTATCTTCATTATCTAAACGCTTTGTCGATGGCGACATGATTTTTTTGAACGCGGCAGCGACATCATGAATTTGTATGAGTTTGACATAAAAGAAGAGGAAGAACCTTATCTGTCGCCGGAAAAATAGAAATAGATCTAATCTGGCTACAACCACAGCCGTCGCGTAGCCCGGTCGTCGCCAAAATAATTATCTACATAAGAGAACGTGTTAAAATAATTTGACAGCTGTAGTCCGTAGCTCGTCGTTTTCATTGTGTTCGGGCTATCACTTTGTTAGGTTGCAAACAGAGTGGAAGCGAAGCCGAAGACGAAAAACAGTGCAGTAGTAAACATATGAAAGTGATCACAGTAGGGATGCAAGTCAAAAAAATACATCGATGTTTTTTTTCGATACGATGCATCGAAATGTTGCATCGATTCATATCGATGTATCATATAAAAACATCGATGTTTTCGATGCATCGGATTAAAATATCAACAGTTTGTTTCAAATTAAAATATATAACAGAAAATAAACGATACGAATTTCAATAAATATTCAAGTATTAACTCACAGTGGAATTTATTTATTGATTTAAATAGTTACAAATCCCAGTTGTTTTTGTCTAAACTTTGTAAAAATAAAATTTTGTTAACACGTTTTCCTTGCAATCTATTGCGCTGTTGATTCAACACTTGAGAAGCCTTCGAAAAAAGTCTTTCGGAAGGTACTGAACTGGCTACAATTGTTAAATGTTTATAAGCTATGTGAAACAACTTTGGAAATTGCTGTTTAAAATCCGCCCAAATTTCCAGCGGATTTTCATTTAAACGACCAACTGTTGCTCTTAAGTAGACGGATATCTCATCTGAAACGCTTTCCTCGTTTCTATTAGATTTCCAGTTTTTATGCACTAATTTGTGGTGATCGCTCCAAAGACTGAAATCTTCTGATTTATCCGATTTTCCGATTTATCTGAGTCTGATTCGCCATGACTTTCGTCGAGACTAATTTTCATTAAATCTTTAATCTTTTGGATGGCACCTGCGCAAGCTAACGGATCATGAAAATGTATTTTTTT